AACAAAAAATGAATATGTGTCAATCAGCGCACACATAAATACAGCCTCATAGGTCAGGTTGCACATAAACCAAATTAAGGAAAAAGGTTATTTTGTTATTTAAAAACGCAGTATAAATGCAAGTATTCGGTGTACGTTTCTTGCTGCACAGGGAACTGGGGCCAATTCCCCCATTCCCCCATGAAGCCTATTGCAAAGAATAGATTCCCTGCTTCCAGGTATGTAGAATCGCTGTGCTTGAGGTGCAGCAAGGCGGTATATTCCATTATATTTCCGGAAGTGACTTTCACATTGCGTGAAAGCTCAAATATAGGGCCAAAATTAACAGGGGAATGGAGTCAACTGCCATGTAAATGCAGCCTGGTGCTCTACGTGGATGTGTGACCACAGGGATAAGTTACCATTTGTTAGCAGTCAACATAAACCCCCGTGGCACAGTTGCTTTCCCCATTGGCATCGTGATGACTTCAGCTTGCTGTGAAGTTGGGAGCAGGACCAGCATGGAGTGGGGGGGGGAGAGATAAGGGTGGAGGAGCAATCTATTTTCACCTCATAATAAGCTGCATTCACAACATACATTTAAAATGTGTGTGTGCGCGCACGCACACACAAACACAGAGAATCTTGGGAACTGTGTGTTTTTAAGCATGCTTGGACTTTTAGCTCTGTGATGGGATAAACTACACATTCTTTTGTGGGGGAATGTGCCTTAAATGTATGCAACTTTTTGCACAGAATTTGGTGGTTCTGACCAATCCCTGGATTGGACTACATATTGCTTCAAAGACCTGCTTATGTCCAAATTGCTTATGCTTTGTCAAGCTTTTTAAAACAAAACCAAAACAAAACCAGTCCAACTAAGTACGGTATTTTTCGCTCTATAGGACGCACCCGACCATAGGACGCACCTAGTTTGAGAGGGGGAGAACAAGAAAAAAATTTCTCTTCCTCTCTGTGCAGCACCCCTTCAGCGAAGCGGCAGGAGAAATGGAGCCCCTTCCATTTCTCTTCCTGCTTCGCTGAAGGGGCGCTGCGTAGAGAGGGAAAGATGTGCAGCAAAGCGAAGCCAGGAGAGCAAGGGGGATCGGTGTGGAACGATTCCTCTTGCTCTCCTGGCTTCAGCAAAAGCAACGCAAAGCCTCTGGAGCACAGTGGGAGCTCCCGCTGCACTCCGGAGGCTTCAGGTGGCTATCCCTGAAGCTTGGAGAGCAAGAGGTGTCGGTGCAACGCGAAGCCTCCGGAGCGCAGCGGGAACATTCCCGCTGCGCTTCGGAGGCTTCGCATTGTTTTCGCTGAAGCCATGGAGCCTGCATTCGCTCCATAAGACACACACACATTTCCTCTTAATTTTTGGAGGGGCGAAAGTGCGTCTTATAGAGCAAAAAATACGGTATATGCAACAAAAAAGTATATTGTATATATAATATATACAAAAGAGTCTAGTCCCATGCAGTACTATACTTCTGCAGCATAAAATTACATGTATTCATGCATAGGTATTTCAATGCCCTAATATGTGTTGTAATATATATCTGATAATGCATTGGTTACTGTAGGAAACCTAGAGTGATTATGTGTACAACATGCATATAATATTATAGTTATAATCAGGGCTTTTTTTTCTCAGCCCAAACTCACTGGAACTCAGTTCCAGCCCCTCTCAGGTTGAGCGCCATTGCCATTCTAAGAGAACAAGGGAGGCCTTCATGGTGAGTTTCTAGAAAAATAGCACTGGATATAATATTGTTTGTAATCATGCAAATCATGTGCAATAATTGTACATGTTTTTAGTGGAGCAGGTAAAATGAAAAGTTGCTTCTCGTCAAGTAGTGATCAGCTTCCACACAGTGGGTCAGACACACCACAGACTGCATCTGAAAAATATGGCCACTCCTGCCTGTTTTCCTGTGGAGTTAAACAGAAAAGAAAAAACTACGGTCGCTAAGGATTACCTTTACTTCTAAGACTTTGTGATGCGGGAACTGGCAATCATTCAGGACAGTGCCACACTGTGTCATTTCAGAATGCTGCACATGGTGTTCCTAGTAGCCTTCCTGTGGCATCACACTCCTAGTAGCTGTCATGTGAGTCTCTTTGAAGAGTCTTGAGGCAGATTGTGGGAGGAGGTGCAGACATTCAAATGAGGCTCTGTCTGATTCTTGGATAGGTGGAAAACTGGGGAGGGCAGGGAGAGAAAGAGAGAGACCTATGCAGTTTTTATATTTTAAAAGTTGCAGATTAATTTCAGGAGCTGTGCTAGGGTGGAAATCATCATCTTCAAGAGATGCTAAATTGGAAAACTTTACCTAGCCATGTATACAACAGTCCTTGTTGCTTAACCTCGCAGAGAGATCTTGTATCACCTCAAAAACCAATACTTTTCCATGGAGGTCAGTACTTTTCACATTGTCCAAATGTGAGTCATTTGTTGCAGGGGCAGCTCACAGCGGGTTTCTCCTGATGCCAACTGCCAAGCCTTTGAAGAAGACCTATTATTATTCCTCTAATGGTTTGAAGTACAACATTTGTTCGTTGAATCGCTGCACTGCTCCCTTTTCATATAAGCTGGGATTACCTCTTATCAGAAAGAAGCCTTGAACTATCAGTGACATGATTGTTAGACACTCTCTGACTTTCGGCTGATGATACACCCTCATGCAGCCTGTGTATGAAATACATATTTCAAATGCATGCTGCTGCCTTGAATGCTTAGATGCTCCAGGGTACCTTCTTGAGGAGATTCTTAAGAAGTCATTTCAGCTGCCTGAGTCTCCTGCCAATATTTTGTTGTGGTGTTATAATTGCAAAGCTTCCTCTTCCGCATCGCTGTGTGAACACCCACAAACAAAGAAATGAGGAGCTGTTTGATAACACCGAGGGAACAGAGCTGATGGGTGAAGCAGAGAGGAAATGCAACAAGGAGGCAAGGTATTTTGCTTTGTAACCTCTTGCAGCTTAATTTCCCTTACTCCAGTGGTATATGCATACAAGATCGGTATAAAGGTAGAGAAGCAAAGCATTTTGAAATGAAGGAAATGCTGTCCCAGTGCTATTTATTCTCAGCAATATAGAAACCATTATTTAGCAAGGAAAGAGAGAACAAATGCCCAGTATAGTAAACAGACTTTCTAGAAAATAAGTACCGATGGACAACATAAGCAAGCTTAGAATCACCCACAACCAGATCAGTAAGTGGATGCACATTTTTGGACTCCTTTGTGCAATATCACACAGACACACACACACACACACCCACACACCAAGAGGCTTTGGTACTTCAAGTTCTACATAAAGCCAGAATGAATATTAGCAAATCAAATGCTGCAGCATGCCAGAAATGTGTCAAAGGAAATGGTGGTTTAAAGGATTATAGGGGCATCTGCTGAGGGGCATAGTTGCTGAATCCTCAGGTCTCAGTAATCAGAGCTGACCCTGTGGTTTAGGTAGAAGATGGTAGCTTTTGAGGGTACAGTCATACCTCATGTTACGTTTGCTTCATGTTACGTTTTTTCAGGTTGCGTCCCTTGGCGAGCCGGAAAGGGTTCCTTTCAGGTTTCGCTGCTCACACATGTGCAGTAGAGCTAAATCGTGCTTCGCGCATGCGCACAAGCACCAAATCGCGCCGCGCACCTGCGCAGATACGGTACTTCAGGTTGTGGGCTTTTCACGTTGTGAATGGGCCTCCGGAATGGATCCCATTCACAACCAGAGGCACCACTGTACTAAGAAAGGACAGCAAACTGTCAAATCTTTAGTTACATTTTTACCATTTGGTGGTGGAGAGTTCAGGTGGCCTTCAGCTAATTTGAGCAGACCCGCTGAAATTAATGAACCTAAATGAGTCGTATTGATGGGTCTACTCCGAATAAAACTTGCATTGAATGCCACCCTCCATTTGTCATACTCTTACTTCAGATCCCCCATATCTTGGGCCTTCTGTGGCTGTGTTCTGTGTGGCGTTCAGAGCAATGCGTGGAATGGTGGAAAGAATAATGTGGAACTGTGGTGTTTAAGTGCTACAAGATTGCACAACAGAGGAACTTCCTATGGTATTTTCACCTTCCATGAAACTTCCCCGTTTTCCAGTACTGGCCTACGTGGAGGGACAAAACCTTGGAGTTGTCCTGCCAACAATGGCATTGCCATACCTTACCTGAGCAGGGCTGGGGCAGGGCAGGGTGGTGGTGATGCCAGGACTGGGCAGGTGTGCTGATGAGAATGCCAGATTGGCTCTACTGGTGCACATACTGCTACCTGCCCCATCCCAAACACAGCAATGCAGGAAGCTACCTTAGACCATTATTCCATGGTCAGTATCAACAACAACAACAACAACAATCTTTATTACGGTCCAGAGACCCAACAAATTGTTACAAAGCAATGCACAGTTCATACAGCCTACCTCCAGGTTAAACAAGCATTTTGTTCAGCATACAGTGGTACCTCAGGTTACATACGCTTCAGGTTACATACGCTTCAGGTTACAGACTCTGCTAACCCAGAAATAGTGCTTCAGGTTAAGAACTATGCTTCAGGATGAGAACAGAAATTGTGCTCCAGCGGTGCAGCAGCAGCGGGAGGCCCCATTAGCTAAAGTGGTGCTTCAGGTTAAGAACAGTTTCAGGTTAAGAACGGACCTCTGGAATGAATTAAGTATTTAACCCAAGGTACCACTGTATAGGGATCATTGGTTCTTGCAACCACTGATAAAAACTTTGCCACTGCTAATGTTCTAGCATTTGTCCGGTCTTCCAATAGGAACCTAACATAGAGAGCCTCTGATTTTCCCGGGGAAGGTACCAGCAAGGGTAGTATCAGTTCAGCCCTGGCTTACTCATATTTTGCACAGTGCAACAAAATATGTTTTATGGAATCAATGTCTTGAGCACACGAGCAAAGTCTGTCCTGGTAGGGAACTCCTCTCACCATGGTCGGTATCATCCCCATTGGCTGGTGGTGGCTTTCCAAGGTTTCAGACAGGAGTCCTGCCCTGCCCTACCTGGAGTTGCCAGGAATTGAACCTGGGATCCTCTGCATGCGAAGCAGATACTCTTTCCCTGAGCTTCAGACCTTTCCTAGGCTTGTCCAGGTTCCTCAACCATGTTGCTGCTAGGAGCTTGGCTCCATCCCACTCCACAAGCTGCTAATGCTGTTTTATACATTATTAGAGTGGTATAAAGTGCAGTTATTGTGAGACAGCAGCTGTGTTGCATGGATGGTGTATGAATCAAGCTTGTATGCTTAGAAGTTCAAGGCACTGCTGCATCGCTTTGGGGCAGCAAAAAGAGAAGTTGTGTGTATGTCAATCTCTAGTTCCGCAATGAATTCAAGGGAAGTTTCATAAACCTGTTTCTCAAATGCTTGATTTATTTCTGAATCTCTAAAAGAACTTGTGACCTGCAATGCTCCCCACTACATTTCACAACTTCTGGATCTAAGAAAACGCCTTTGAGTTCCAAGAAAGACTGTAATGGAAAGAAATGGACTATTAATATTTTGATAACATATTACATGTGTCTGAGGGGCAATGAGAATTTGGGATTAAGAAATGCCAAGGAAATTGTGAATGATGAGAGATATAGGTATAAAAATTTAAACCCATAAAAGTGCTATACTTGGCCACAGCTCTATAATGTTTAATATTGCATGATCGTACTGAATATTGCATATTTCTTCTTTCATTCTGCTTCTTAGGAAAAAGATCTATGTACTGCTAATGCTTACATTTGACAGTATAAGTAAGAGATTCTCCACTCCTTACTCGATTTGTCAGTTTCCTGCTTGGTGAAATTACTTATGGACACATTTCTGTAGACAGGCTGCCTAGTTATGGTATAGAGCAGAAATGAGGGACCTGGGACTGACCTTTAAAGCCCTAAATGACCCCAGCCCTGTATACCTGAAAGAGCATCTCCACCCCCATCGTTCAGCCCAGACACTGAGGGTCCAGCTGTGAGGGCTTTCTGGCAGTTCACTCACTGCAAAACGTGAAGTTATGGGGAACCAGGCAGAGGGCCTTCTCGGTAGTGGCATCCCCCCATGAAAGATGTCTCCCATCAGATGTCAAGGAGATAAATAACTAGACAACTTTTAGAAGATATCTGAAGGCAGCCCTGTATAGCTGTTGTTGTTCTTGTTGACGACTCCCATCAGACCCAGCCAACATGGATAGCAGTCCGGGATGATGAGAAGTTTGTTCAATAACATTTGGAGGATAGCAGTTTCCCCATTCCTGGTGCAAAAATTATCCTGGGATAAAAAAACAATATTGAGAAAGAATAATCAGCAACTTGTACCTGGCCCAACCATCAACAGCTCCATTGCTCTTTGGAAAGGAGAGCAGAGGTGGGAAGAAGGTAGATTAGGATCTACTTGTAGATCTCTGGGTAATAGATAATCAAGGGGTTCTGACTCCCAATTGTTGTACAATAGCAACAACAAACAGACTTTTCCCACCTAAACTGGGCTGCTGAAATGAAGAAAGCTAGCCATGGGTGGGCTTTGGGCTGTGAGCTCAGCTCAGTTCTGGTACTGATGATGAATTCCTAGGCTAAGAATGTGTTCAGAGGCCCCCTGTTCTTAAATTCTACCTGTGTGTTGTTTGCACATGGCTCCCAAGAACCTTGCAATTTAGGTCTGGGCAGTGAAGGAGAGAGGTGTCACAACTGGAAAAGGAATGAAAAAGGCCAGGCTAAGTAAGGAATGAGCATTAGCAAAAGTTGCCCCTGCTTTAATAGTCAGCATTTTCTGTACACTGAAAGGTCATGTTTGTAGCATCACATTCTTTGCAGATGTATGTTTGATGTAAACAGAGGCAAAGACGTACCATATTACTCTCCCAGCCTCATATAATTAGAACAGCTATGTACAGCATATGCATGCATCTCTTTATGTTGAAATATTCTTAAAAATATTTCCTGGCTCAGAAATGTGCTTCCCCCCTTCCCCACCAATAAATATGCAGTGTATGTAAACATGGGAACTCTAAACGCAAAACGTAATAAATAACTTAAGTGCACCTCATACTCTATGGCTATATACCTTAATCCAGTGGATCTTAGAGCACTGCATGATATAAAACTACATTCCTCAAACATTAGGAGATGTAAATGGACTATTACAGCATATGCTGCTCTTCCCAGTAATATTATGTGTTAAGGGAGCTTTCTGTCAGACAAGAATGTTCAGACTCAAAAAGCTGCGTCAGAATATTGATGATATATAGCATTCAGTAATGGTTGCCTACTAAAAATAAACAAGGAGAAGGGGACGACAGAGGACGAGATGGTTGGACAGTGTTCTCGAAGCTACCAGCATGAGTTTGACCAAACTGCGGGAGGCAGTGGAAGACAGGAGTGCCTGGCGTGCTCTGGTCCATGGGGTCACAAAGAGTCGGAGACAACTAAACAACAACTAAAAATAAAACTTGGGCTTATTTAAATTCTCCATGAAAGACAGACTGAACATTACAGAGAAACTGAGAATGTCATGATGTTGTTCTTGTTGTCTAGTAGATGTCTTATCTGTCCTTCACCATGAAGTCCCAGAGCGGGTTACAATATAAAAAAGAGTTACCGTAAAATGGATTCCAGTCAAAAGAATGTTTGTGTGTGCGTAAGGCCTTGGTAAAGTTGTGCACCTTCAGCCTAATTCAAAAACGACATGATGAATGTACCAGATGCACCTCTGTGGGGAGGGAATTCCATAACAGAGAATGCCTTCTCCCAGGCTGCTACCCACAAGCTTCTGAGGGTGGTAGAACTACCAAGAGGGTCCAGCTCCTAACAACTGGAGCTCCACCATCTCCACTTTTGATGAAATTGCCCTTGGCTTATTACTTGAGCATATAAGAACATTATGGAATGGAAGCCAACTTCACGTGATTAACAATATATAAGCTGGGGAAGGGACATGTATGTGTGTGTGTGTGACAATTAAGCCAAATTGACTTCCTGTAGCTATTGTAGCTCGTATCCTAGATTTAATGTGTTATCAGTGTTTATCCATTCTCAAGGTTTCAATATCAGCCGATCCTAAGCAGAATCATAGCTGGCAATTCTCTGTGAAAGGCATAGTTAGAATTCCCACTGCTATGAGAAAGAGAGAGTGCATTTGAAAGACTGGTGTCCTCTGGATATCCTTCAAAACAAGGGGAAGTTACAAAAATCTGGTGATCCCAGGTATGCATCAGTCATGCCTCCTCTTCTTCCATCTCCTAAGCCTAATCAGCCTTTTTGCAGCTAAGCACAATATTTGCATCCTCTTTCAAGATAGCTGTAGCTCCCAGGAAGAAAGAACAATGGATTGGATCCAAGCTATATATGAACAGAAGGCATGCCTTTGCATGAGAGTTGCCAATACTCCACCACCACCATGTTTGGGGTCCTTCACACTCCCCTAAAGCTGCACTGGATAGGCTTTGTGGGGGAGGGCTGTTGCCAAAAGGGGTAGCAGAAAAAAGGGGTAGCAGAAAAGCCCCCTGTGTAACTACATAATACTTTGGATCCCAACCAGTATCTGGCATCACCACTGCTGTAATAAATCTCTTGTGCTGTGACACAAGGAATCATTTTGGCTGCTTCCCAAATCAGGATTAGCAAAAGCACGTTTTGCGGAGGGGGGGGGAGTCATATTTGAACCTCAATGCCAAGCCAGGAATCATCGTTTTAAATAATATGCAAGAAGGCCTCTTCAATCTTTTCCAGCATTTGTCCACTGCCACACAGCTTATGAATGTTTCTTCCCCCCACCAATGTCTGTCATTTCCTTATAATGATATTGATATTCAATAGAACAGTATAAGCGGCAAACATCTATGGCCTACAGGGATATATTAATGGAAAGGGCCTATAATTGTTCCTCTTTTTTTCTACTATTTAATAATAAAACTGCCTAAGTCATTGTCTTACAGATTGGACAATCCCAACTGATCAGCCAGCTAGTGATTTCCTATCACATCAAAGGATTTACTGTCCCCTGGGCCAGATTGTGTTCTGTAAAGGAAGAGAAGGCAGGAGAATAAAGCAGCGAGCAATTCCCCAAGTATGAATCATGATAGCTTGTTTCCCCCTCATTCCTGGGAAGAAAATTATCTTAATTTTAGAAGGTTTTTGGTTGGTTGAAAAATAAGAACACATGAAGTGCTTCTTTCCAAAGTCCAAGTCTAACTGGGTTTTTGTTTTGTTTTGTTTCATTTTCCCCTCCTGCAACACAAAAGCCCATCATTGCTTGGGAAAGGCCACAAAATACCACTGAAGTAAAAGGAATAGACAAATTAACCTTTCAAGCTGTATTAAACTGCACTGCCGTGATTCTGACCTGAGCAATCCTTGAATGGGTCTATTTGTTCATTTAGCACCACAGCTTTGTGTCATTTTTAATAATTCTTTGAAGAACCCATCAAAACATTTCTTTCACCAATGCATAAATATATATATAAAATAACACTTGGCACTGGAAGGCTGGTTTGTGCAGGGTAATTTGACTAATTTGCCATGCCAGAGGGGAGAAGAGGGAAATGTGTGAAGGAGAAAGTGTGCAAGCTGAATGTACTGGGGAAGCAGTGGCAGAGCAAGTCGATTGGATGCCTGGGGCGGCGCGCGTGCCCTGCGCCCAGGGGCGGAGCCAGCCACCCGTGGGGTGGGGCCAGCCGTGGCAGGACATTCCACACGGCTCACGGTGAGTTCCGCCCAGCATTTTGTCACACACACCCCAGCGGTGACACCTGGGGCGGCCCACCCCCCTGTTAGTTTCTGTTTGCCACTGAGCAGTGCTTTGGAGTCACAAGACTCTGTTTACATTCCACACAGTCCAGGCTGTTGGAAGTCTCACGGGAGACAGATGTGACGTTAGTGGTTTCCTGTTCCTGTTCCTTTGTTGTTCACTTGCTCTCTGCTCTCACATAGAGAGGATGAGTTTTTTGTCTGCGTAGTTAGGAAAATAAAACTCTTTGCAATGTAGCCATAAATCTCATCACTTCCGCGTGCTGCTTTGATTCTCTGCTGGATGGGAATGTGCCTAAGGCCTCATCAAAGGCTCAGGTCGTTAATCACGTCGGAGGCGATTC